TAAGTGTGGAGATATGAAATGAAAAGCAAGGTTCTCCCGAGAATGAAAGTTTAAATTGCTCTTTCGGCTCCCAAAGTACTACCATGGTCTTCTGGGACATATCTGAAGTGTTAGTGCTCAAATTTGTGAAGTATGGCCATACAATTAATGCAATACTCTGCTCTAAAGAAAACTGATATCACAAGAAACACATTATGAGCAATCATGTTATTTGTGATGATGCTTAGCACCTGTCACAAATGATCTGAAACCTTGCGCAGTAGGAAATTCGTGGCACCCAATGACTTACCTGCTTCTTAGCTTAGAGATATTATCCCATTGTTTTAGCTGCTTCCTCAATCAAATCTGTTCATCTTGTTGAAATTCTTATATTTTGAAGACGTGCTTTCACACAGATGTTAACAGCATTTATCTGTGAAAGGTAGATAGATTTGAGCCACAGAGCTTTCCATACAGACCAACTTGAGGTCATCGAGTGTCCTCAACAAAGCTTCCGTTGGCCATTATATAATTTGGCTTATGTGGTGCTGCTTAGTAGCATGTCCATCACTGGTACACTCGTACAACTGAGTGGATAGTCTGAAAGTGGTCTAAAATTTTCATTTTTATTAGAATTTGCTGATAAGGCAATAACTGATATAATGTGCAAAACGGAACAGTCAATCTTGCCGCAGCAAGATAATTAACAAAGATTAAATCTCAAAAAACGCAGAACTAAGTGATAGCTTTCTTCTAATAGTGGCACCACCAACTTGGCAATTTTTCTTCTCGCAGCACCCCACTCCTTTATCAATGTAGTTATTGAGCTTTTCATAATACAAATAAGCATCATGGCACACCTCAGCATTACCAACTTAGGCTGTCAAAATATCTACAATTGGATTGTTTATTTTAATCAATTTATCAAATTATTGAATAGGCCAATAACCGGTGTAAAACAAATAGATTTATAAATTTTTGGTGCCGTAATTTGTAGAGAGGTATAAGGACGTTTTTAATTGCAAACAAACTGGTCAATACAATTACATTGCAGCAGACGGTAGCCAAATATATTAAAAAGATATCTACAAAACAACACTTAACTATAATTAATATATTCCACAAATCTAATTACAGTAGATCCCCCTATAAGANATTTGTGATGATGCTTAGCACCTGTCACAAATGATCTGAAACCTTGCGCAGTAGGAAATTCGTGGCAATGACTTACCTGCTTCTTAGCTTAGAGATATTATCCCATTGTTTTAGCTGCTATAACATGAAACATGTATGAGTTTACAATTCTGGGGGTCTCCCATCTTATTTAGAGCCGGAATCTTACTGTAAACAGCAACGGGCAATATTCTAATAAACCATCTTAATAATTCATTAGCAAAAAATGTATGATGTATATAAAAAAAATCACTTTAATCCAAAACAGTTTATTTTTCTCACAGCCACACCAAGCTAAATGATTCAAGAGTTTATTGTAGCATATCTTATTATCATATGTGACGAGTTTTATAGACAAACTGACGGGATAAGCATGGGGTCAAAGATGGGGCCAAAACTTGTGGAAATAGTTATGACTGATACAGATGAAATAATTAACAACATTAAAGGTATAAAATTAGTTATGAGATATACACTGATGATTACTTAATAATTTTTGATAGCAATCTGATAAGTGAAATAAATATCTTTATCATCATAAATGACATTAATGAAGACACAATTTGATATAGAAATTGAAAAAAACAAAGTTAAATGATTTAGATATAACTATAATTAATGAATTAAATAGGTTTACTTTTTTAACATATAAAAAAAACCATGTAATGTAGATAAAACAATTACAGTTCATATAGCCTGGAAAATATAAAAAAGAACACTTTGATTATGGAATTAAATATATATACATTAGAACAACAAATATTAAAAATAGAGAAATTGAATTAAAATTGTTAGATAATAAATTCATACTAAATGATTACCCAAGGTTAAAATTAATTAAATGACACAAAACAAACAATACTTAAAGAACAGATATAACACTAGATATAAATGTGACAGAAATTATTATACCTTTCCTTATATCAAAACATATTTGAAAAATGCAATAATAATCTCAAACAAAATAAAGTTAATTTGGCCCCATCTTTGACTAACAAAATATCTCAAAACATATGTAAAAGAATCAATAATCAACATAACATAACCAAAAAAAAAATGATATTACAAAAGAAGGAACTGTATATAAAATTGAATGCAATTGTAATATCCCTAGAATATATGTAGGTGAAACTGGCAGAGCCTTGGAAAAAAGAAAACTTGAAGCAGCAATTCACCTCAAATATAGTAATTCACCATGGTTTAAACATTCAATGAGTAATAATTGCCAAATTAATAGAAATAAAAATACTACAAACTGAAAAAGATAGCTATAAAAGAAAATTTAAAGAACATATATAGATTTTAAAATATCCTAGAGATAAACTAATTAACATCTCAGATGGCATGACCATTGATTCACAACGGTACGAAATAATAGAGGCTTTTGCATACAATATAATTAATATTGTAAAATTTGTTTAACAGTAATGTAATTCTTTTTTGTCTATGTACTTGTGTGAACATTACAAAAAACTTTTATACTTGTGAATTTATATGAATAGGTGTTACAATCTAAATTTTGTAAGTACATTCTACCCTTTTTAACGATATAATTAAAATTGTATTATACAATTATATCACACTTATACAGTACTCCAACCATGCAAGCAAACCAATTTGTAGTCGCCATCACCTTTGCGTATAAAAGTTAAAATTACAGTAACTTAAATTGGGTGTAGCAAGTATAAGATTTATTATTTATTGTATTTGAAGATTATATGGAGTATTTTAGTGTTTTTGATTTGTATTATAGATGTAATGGTTGTCTTTTAACCCTTTTTTAAGATTTTATAATTGTATTTATACAGAAAACATTGAATGTGTTATGGAGTTTCAAATTGTACTTTTTTCTCTTCCTAGTACATGCATGTAAATATACAAATCATATTGTAAAAATCTTTATTGATAATTACAACAATGTCAAGTCTTATAAATCACACATTGTTTTCAATAGCACCAAAGACGGCTATAAGATCATATTAGCCCGAAATGAATATGATGTATAATCTGTTTAAAAATATGCTACAATAAAGGCTTGAATAATCTAGCTTGGTGTGGCTATGAGAAAAATCAACCATTTTGGATTAAAGTGATTTTTTATATACATCACTATTATACCAAACTCATATTACATATAAAAAAATATATGGATTTTAGAAAATAGCTTAAACAACATAATAATTGACAACAAATTTTTAAGTTGTTTCCAAGACATATTATACTTTGCAATCGTAAAATCAAGCGGGGAAATGGGAGGAGCTTCAGGAAAAAAGTAACAATGTCACAGGCAGATTGCATGTTGAAAGTTACATCACCACAGCTGAGCCATGTGAATGTGGCCCACTGCAAAGGGACTTTACAATCACACTGTATGCGATCTACCTAGATCAAACAACATACAGATATAAATAACTCCAGTTAATATGATCAACAAGTATGTAATATTGAACAAAAAAAAACAAAGAAAGTGAAATGCTAAAAGCTAGTAAACTTCAATAAATAATCTCAAATATGTACACTCAATTTTTAGATTTAAACACCTTTCAGTTTCTTGACATACCAGCACAGAGAAATAGCCACCATTTTAACACACTTTTTAGTCTGCGTCTAGGTAAAATCTCAACTCAATTTTCACCCAATTCCCGATCTATTTTAAAGTTTGCATATATAGACATTACCGACATTTTTTTTTCTTTGAAGTTCCAAAAGATTTTGTATGGGATTCATTTTAAATGTACAGAATGTTCATTTGACATTTTTACTTCCCCAGATGTGATATATAAGAGGGAAAGTATGGCAATCAGTGTGTGCATGTGCAATTTTGTTCACTCGTTTGAAGCTTAATAATGCCCATCTCTTTTGTCAAAGATTTCTGAAATTTTGCATGGAGGTTTAAAGGTATGTTAAGGGGATGGATTGGTGCTATTAAATTTTGGCAGTTAAAGATAAAGAGATGGGAAATAGAGGGGGTTTCACATGTCTTATCTTGAACGGGATCCAACTACATAAAGATTTTACTCATTAATTTTATTTTAAAAAAATTGTAAATGCTAATAGTCTATATTCTCAAAATTAAGATTTTTATAATAATTAATACACAAAAAATATTTTAAAATACACCCTCATAACAGATGGCAACTCACACACACAATATTAAAGTTTCTGTAAGTTAAATTTTAAAAAAAATCCGGCCTGTTGTATATTTACAAGACCAATACTGAAATTAAAATTAACTTATCTGCTGCCATTAATTTAGAAAGAGAGCTTGAATTCGAGCAAGTAAACCAATAAAGAGTGTGCTAAAAATTATAGTTTTGGTGAGAAAATGCAAAGAATTTTCACTTAGAACGCACACACTTGGCATAAAAAGAAGTGTAACTATTTTTCCCGATCAATCCTTGTGCTTAAAATATTTATAAGCATAAACTGCATGCAAAGAATTTAATGCTTAGGTATAATTTTGCTATTTTAAATGCAGTATATAATAATGTTCATAAAAATATTTGTATATTATACATACATTAAAAAAATAAATAAATTTTCAAGTTAACAGTTTAAAATTTATCTGTGTCGGCTAATAACAAATTCTTGCCGAGCACGAAGTTTTATACGGGTCGTGCCGATGTGATGTACCAAATATGGCAATAATTTACAGATGACGAATACAAAGAATGATCCTAAATGCTTCCATGTGACATCAAATCTGATATGTATGTATGTTCTCAATAGATTTTGGAATGCTTGAAAAACACATTTCTTGATAATATTGTAGTAACCAGTTAGAACTAAAGTATTTGTTGGTTAGTACATGCCCTCCACCAATACGAAGATTGCAAACAAAAACAAACCTAAACACCGATTTGAAGAATCTAGCTTGGTGCATCTGCTAGCATTTTTCCTATTGCCTCTGGTGGTATCTCTATTGTCATCTGAAATTGATTAGAGTAAGTTATAAATTTGATAAATTTCTTAATTGAAAGAATAAGAAAATAGACAGGAAAACAAAAATACACCATTAGAAAATTTTTACATTTATTATAAATGAACAAATTTCGATAGTGTTACCGTTATTAGATGGCAAAGCTGTGGTGAGAGCTGCTGAATTTCCTGAATGTCTAGAAGTTGACCTGCCCACTTGGTTTGTTGTGGAGTGATGCGCTTTGTCCGGATTTGTAGTAGTTCCATATAATATTAATGACCAATCCTTAAGAATAACTGCAGCTGAAATGGACAATACTTAAAGTTATTTCTGAATTACTTTACAGATAAAATCTTCAATCAAAAACATATTTCAGATTGGTTCTTTAATTCAGTGGTTGTCAACTTTTTTTGGCAATTCAAACTTTCACAATTTCACATTTTTGACGGCATCTACTGATACTAATATCACACTAAAGATGCCATTATATGCAAAAATGGGATGTAAAATGCAAATTATTGCAAAAATTAGTATTTTTAGAGATTGTCTGGAAATTTTGTTGTATACATATGTTCGGGCACATGTAAAAATGATCTTAGTACATTTATGATGAATTATTTTTCTACTAAAAGCAGAGATTTATATTCTATTCTTTGAATAATAAATATTTAATTATTACTAACAATACAGAATAATTTATAAAACAAATTAAATTTTCTACATTAATCCTAACACTGACATTATTGAATTCTACAATTTAAAAAGTTAGTTTTTAAACTGTATAATTGTTTTAAATTGTTTGATATAAAATATAATCAATGTGAAACATGTGGTTTGTATCTTGCTGCCTCAGTCTTTTAATTTGATTTTATTAGTAATAAACTTAGCATAAATGTGTAAGTTGTGAAAGAGTTAAAGTAAACTTATTTTATCCATTGTAATGGTCTGCAATGTTGTCATAGTATTGATCTAACAAGAATTTATTGCTGATTTGATCTAAATTAAAAGATTAATTGATGACTTAACTGCAAACAAGAATTCTTTCTAATTTGGGTAGTCTTAAAAATAAGTTTAAAAACTACTTTTGACTAAACTATTGCTATTAAACAATTATACAATATCAGATTTTACATAATTATTACATTTAAAAACATACCAAACATATACAACACATTAGTCTATAAAGTATTAAAATAATTACTTAAAACGTTCTTATTATGAAATGTAAAATTAGTTCCAACATATTTTCACAGCAATCAAAGCCATGTTTGAATTATTATTATGCTTCTTTTTACCTAAACCATCTTTAATGAGAATCAATAAAAAAATTTAAGTCAGAAATTAAATCCTGGAGACAGAAATTTTATGTAGAATATTCTTACAAATGGATTCTAAGCAATTTACATTTAAAGCAAGAGTGTAGGAATTATGTCTTAAGCAAGCAGTAACGACAATGAAATAATTTAGGAAAATTTATTGTAGTTCTAAATTATTAAGTTCTGATTTGGTTTATTCTGACAAAATCTCTCTCCAAATTAAAAACAAGGGAATTTTCAAAGTTTAATAAATTTTTTTAATAGTCAGTATCAATTAAATACAAATAGTTATCTGGAAAGAAATGTTAATAATTTTAACCCAAAACATAACCCATTTGATCATAAAATAAGTTTAATTTTTGAAGTATTTTATACACAAACAAAAATAAATTGGTACAAAATATCCATCAACAACCAACTTAAGAAAATGCAAAGAATTAAACATTAAGCTTGTTTAATAAAATTAAAATTTGATATATACATTGAGTTGTGTGATACCTATAAGTATTTTAAAAAAACAAACATTTTAACACGCAAATAAAGATCCACACACATTCATCGATTCATTGCGTTCATGCAATAGCGGGAAGAAAAAGTCAGATGAATTTCTAAATTTTTCAAAAATAATTTCAATATTAAAAAAGTTTTTGAAGATTGTAAATAGATTTATTTAAATTATTTAAATTTTTGTATTGATACTTTGTGAAATTTTTATTGAGTTCTGAATTTCTTGATTTGATTCAGATTTATTGAGAATATTCTCAGCATGTTTGCAATGTTGCATACCACAGATGGCACATTTATTTCTTTCACATCAGTACTCCACCATTATGGTAAAATTAATTGTTCTTGGCTTCATTTCTATATTAGGAGTATCTTTGCTATATTAACATAAATAAAATACTTCTAGCATTGTTTACCATATTTTGAGCACAGGCACTTTTTTATGATAAAAACTGTATACCAAATGTATGTATGCAGTACTATACTATCTACATAATCAATTTTTACAAACATTTTTTTTAAAGAAATCGTAACATAATCAACAACCAAATTAATTTTCCTGCCATAATTTTTGGTCAAAAAGGTGGAGACCCAATTAGTTAATTTTATTAAAACACTGCTTACATATAGCCTGAAAAATCCAGCATATAAATAATTTTTAATTTGTTATAAATAATAAAAATATTATTTTTAGTATAAGTCACAAATGATGCATAAAAATAGACCTGTTATAATTGAACTCAAATATCTGTGCTATAAAACAAATCTCTGCACAGCACCTGACAAATAACATGTTTTTGGGGGGAAATCCCCCAAAAATTCTTTACATAGAGAATGTGTCAAACCTTAAACTATTTTAATTTAGAAATTTTCAAAGAAGAATAGTCAGACAGACAGACAAATAGTCTCATCAAATAGTTGGGACTGATGAGTGAAGTACTAAAGTTTATTTTTAAATAAAATTCTAAAATTTAAGAAACATAAGTTAACTTACGACCTGAACGACCATCATTATGAATTTCTAACTTCCATACTCCATTTGGGTTTTCACCCCAATTATGTACAGTCATGAAAGGCCAGTGACGAAAGCCTGTCTTGAAATTGTCATTGGGGCGTTTGTCAAGAAGTCTGGATCTGAAAACAGACATTATATAAAGTACAGGATATATTTTTTTAATGGATTGATATGTACTAAAGACTTTCCAAATATCTATAAAATATATTTAATAAATTTTTAATATAAATCACATGATATTGTCTATTGTGCTATTTCAATATATAAAGTATATTCTGTCAATATGAAAAAATTTCAACTTCAAGCAGTAAAATATTTTATGCACAGATTGTGAAATTTACGCAAATTTACCTAGTTTTGATAGTGTATATTTGTCCCAAATTTTATTTGCCTATAGAAAAAAAATCAATATTTTATGTACTTTAATTTTAATTCATTGTCTTTTAATCAAATATTCTGATTCTTCTGAGTGTCTTAAGATGATTTAAAATCTGTATATATGAACATTGGAGTGAACTGATGGTTTAAGGCTAGGCAACTTATAAGCAATCTGTCAAAGGAGTGTCTCCTGAGAGGATTTTTGATGGAAAATTTGGCCCCTATTAAGATGTTAGGTACAGGAAGAAAACCTAGAAAAGTCAACCAGTTCACCAGTCAGGATCAAACCTACAATTAACTACCAACTTCATATATACAAACCCACCAGTTAGATAAGCCAAATAGATATAATGAGAGTAAACTTTAGTGGTTTTATTACATGAAAATACAAGGTAGTTCCACTATATTCATATATAAAGCCACCAATGGCCAAATAGATAAAAACCACACTTCACTTTTCATGTTTTATCTATTTGGCCACAGGTGGCTTTATATATGAATATAGTGGAACTACCTTGTATTTTCATGTAATATAGTGAGAGTAAACCCTTTGCTCTCTCTCACTACTACAAATACAGTATATCATTTTTCCCCATATTATGTAACAATTAGGCTATGTGCATACTGTTGGTGAAATATGAATAATGAAATGTTCATTGTCTGTAAATCAAAGCATTCACACTAGTCATTATTTTTACATTTTTATAGCAATCATTTTTGTTTGAATGTTAAATAAGATTCGATAATTAATGAATGTCATAACACATTAACCAACACAAACCTCCCATAATAATTCCATATACGACTGAAGGAAGCTTAATGATGGGCGTTGAAGAAAGATTAAAGGTTTAAGTTGTCTGATAAAAAACTAGAGAAAAAACTCGGCTGAAAATAAATTCACTTTATTTTACTGGTATGTGAATTATAATTGTTTCTTGTTTAATGTTGAAATAATATTTTTGTCTCAAATCCATATTGTAAGCACATAGCATACAACAAAGATGGCCATGAAACAAGCATGTAATGAAATTGCGTATGCTTTCATAGAAATGTAGAGGATTGTGTGAATGCTTTGACAATTAACAAGTTCAATAGTAGACACATTGTTATTGATTAGACTGTCATTGGCAGTGTGAACTCGGCCTTAAATTTATTATTATTTTATGACGATTCACGAGGAGAAAAAAGGTTAAAAACATTTTTAACTTGTATAAAATTCAAAAAAGTTTTTTGCATTTATTCTCAGTTAAATGTAACATTTATGATTTTTAACGTATATATTTGTATTACATTTATTCGAGATACTTTGAATCGTGTATAAATCTAATCAAGATGATTTTTCTTTGGTATATATTTTAGTTAAATTTTTTCATAAAATAAAACTATAAATTGAGAAAATTAGTTACTTAAGCAATTGATTAAGATTACTTATTAATTGAAACTAACTAGTATAAAAAAAAACCTCTTAATTTAAAATAAAAACATTAACAGGAAAACTTGGATTTAAATTGTAATAAGATTTACCTGGTTCCCATTGGTGAAATAAGAAATATATAAATATCGCCACGTATACCTCGCAACAAAGTAATATTTGCTTGGACATGTTCTAAATATTTTACTTTTTCACAAGATACTTTTAATTTGAGAACAATGGAAGATTTTGGTTGTATTAAGCTGAAATAGAATAGAAAGATCTTTGTTATAAAATGTTCATTTTAATTTAATATGTAACTCAACATTTTTTATAAAAAGAAATATTTGGAAATAATAAAAATCACATAATTAGAATTTAATAATTATTTCAAGCATTAGCTTTTAAGAATTTTCTTAATCACATATTGATTGTATGCAGAAATTTTAACACATGCACGTACACATTTAAATTATCCTTGAACTTGGAATTAAGGCAGTTCTAGTGAAAGATATAAAAATCAAATTTAATATCAATGTTAAATTTACAAGAGTGAGACTAAAATTATAATTGGAAAACTTAATAAAATGAAAGAAAAATTGCCTTGTATATCAGAAAATAATTTGTACAATACATTTTAGATTTACTTTGAAACTTTGTAAGTGAAATTTGATGTGGAAGACAATGGGAAACCACCACATTACCTATTTCTAGTATACAAACTTATCTACAATCCTCATGATCTCATACCAACATGTGTCTAGTCCAGGGATGGCCAACAGTTTTTGCCTCCAGGCCGAATTGGAAAGAAAACTTTTTACACAGGCCGAACCGGAGGCTGCCCTAGGAAGATTTTGAGGTGGTGCAAGATCTCATTGTGGTGTCACACCGTAGAGACTAAATTGTACATAGAGATTACAGATACATTTTTCACATTATCATGCTTTATCAACATTCTAAGCTGTACTTAAGAGATTTGTAATGGAGGGTTAACTCTAAACGCACAGTGAATTTTTGTTGACCTTCCTTTTTTCTTAGGCGTCAGAAATTTTCACCGAGCTATTCGGAGTTGAGTAGCTAATACTGAAAGATTAATCTTGGGCCACATAAATTCATTAGACGGGCCGGATCCAGCCCGCGGGCCGTATGTTGGCATGCCTGGTCTAGTCTGCCATTCATTCTGAGTCCAGATCAAATGGTGAGAAATATACTACTGGGTGCATATCAGTGAGTGACCAGGCTATATGCAGCAAATCGACTACTTCTGGAAGCCAAAGAAGAAACAATGTAAGGAACCAAGTCTGAGTGTTATTTTTAGTTACTTTTATTTTGCTTATTATTCTATTTTTGTTTGGGGCTTATGTTTTGTTAGGACGAAGGTTTCCTCACCACTCACCTTAGACACTTAAAAATAGAAGAGAAACCAACTCACCGATGAGAAAAAGCGCCGTAGATAAAACTCGCGCACACTTGGCTCCCGAGCGGAAAAAAGTAAGTCCGCATCGAGAAAAGGGGGAGACCCCACAAGAATAACTTAGGAACTTGCTAAACCTTAAAGAAAAAAAAAACATCCCGAAAATTGTCAAAAAGAATAATGTAAAAGGTTAGCAAGTATTGTCGGAAAATAAGCTGCCAGACAAACAGAAAAAGTTTATTGTTAGCAAATAAGTATGTAAATGAGGGGAGTGCCCGCTCTCAGAATTGTGACGTCACCTCACAGTATAAAGACCAAACCTCAAGTGAAGATGGTCGAGGTGAGCTTCTGTTAGCAATGAGCGTGGCGAGCTTCGTAGCAGCAAAAGAGAGCAATATCCGATAGGATAAAGTAGTTCAAGGCGATTTTGAAGTTATTCGATTTGTGGATCGAAGATTAAAGAAAGTCTTGAGAGTTGAGGAAAAGGTTCCTAATATATTGAGGTGATGATTAGGATCTTTAATTCATAAGAATTATTGTATATAAGTTAAATCTTTGAATTTTTTGTTGAGTTCCAAAGGGGAATAGATTTAAGTTAGAAAATAGATTGATTTGAGTTTTGTTGGGTTAATTCTTATTGACTTTCATTGAATAAATTGTTAGTTGATTTTTTACTAAATTTTGTATATAGTTATTACTAGAATATTTATTAAATATTGAATTGTTATTGACTAACTTTGTCATTATTTAATTTGGTGCACGCTTAAAGTTCAGGCCTAGCACATTAACGCGAATCCACATAAAGTACCCGTTAGGTAACGGCTATTTCCAGCACACAGTCGTGTCGATAATCATTGTAGAGGGCAGAAAAATAACATAGTACTTTACAACAATACTCCAAAAATCATCACGAGGAATATAAACAACAGAGGCACGTGGAATGTAAGAACGCTGTACGTCAAAACCAAATTACATAACCTCGTATTAGAGGCCAAAGAACTGAATATGGACATACTCAGTGTCAGTGAGATGAAATGGCCCAACAGCGGTTGGATAAAAAGCAATGACACACATGACTTTGTTTTCTCTGGAGGAGACAGTCACGAAAGAGGTGTCGGAATACTCATCAGGAAAGACGTCATGAAAGTTGTCGACGGAGTAGCAGCAATATCAGATCGCATTCTTTACCTGCACATAGCATCATACCCCCATTATTATTGAGTTTCTGCATTGTTTGTTGTTAACGATACAAAAGCATTAAGCATTATTCAAGTATACTCGCCTACAGAAGCTGCCCCAAAAGATGTCATAAACAAATTCTACAAACAGCTTGAGAAGACACTTGGACTTGCAAAAAGAGGGGACGTCAAAATAATAATGGGAGACTTCAATGCCAAAGTTGGAAAAGGCAGAGTAACTGACACAGTAGGCAATTATAGACTAGGCAAAAGAAACAAACGTGGTTATATGCTTGTTGAATTTGAAGAATGCCATGACCTATGTATCACAAACATATGCTACAAACAACATCTGCGAAGACTGCACACATGGAAAAGTTCTCAAGATGGAGAAAACAGAATAGTACGAAATCAAATAGACTTCATCCTCATCAACAAACAATAAAGAAACTCAATTCACAATGTTAAAACAAGGCCTTCAGCTGACTGCTACACAGAACATAATTTACTCTATGCCAGGTGCACCATTCACTTAAAGAAAGTTACAAGAAAAATGTCAAAAAGAAGAAGTTACATTACAACCTTGACAGGTTGAAAATATGCAAAATCAGGCAACATTTTAGTGAGGTGATTACAAAAGAAATCCAAGACAATGACATACCCTCTATAGAGAATCACTGGGAAAACATAAAAAGTGTAATTAAGAATGCTGCCTGTACCTTACTTAACAAAAAGGAAAGAGAGCAGAAGAACCCTTGGATCACAGAGGACATTTTGACACTGATGGAGGAACGTAGAAAGTTTAAGAACCAAAACCTTGAAGAATACAAAAAACTTCATCGGATGATCATGCATGAATGTACCAAAGCTGAAGAAAAGTGGTTCGAAGAAAAATGTGAAAGAATAGCAGAGCACGACAAAAAGCACCATACCAGAGAAGTCCATAGAATCATCAAAGAAACCATGAAAGAACTTAAGAAAACAAAGAAGGGCATAAAAAATTTAATAAACCAACAAAACAAAATAAAATGTGGAAAGGAAGAAAGAGCTAAAACTTGGACAGAGTACATCAAAGATTTGTTTGGAGATCGCAACAGACATCCCCAGTTTCATACAACAGAAGGAGATGCTGCCTCTCCTATTACGCTAAGAGAATTAGAACATGCCATGGACTCCATGAGATATGGAAAAGCTCCTGGTGATGATGATACTCCAGCTGAACTCCTAAAATCCTTGGGCACGCCTACAAAACTATCGTTACTAATCTTTTTAATAAAATCTACAAAGATGAACAGCTACCACGTGACTTCAAAAGACCCACGTTCATCCCAATTCCAAAGAAGCACAATGCCAAGCAGTGTGACCAATTCTGAACCATAAGTCTAATGAGCCATAGCCTAAAGCTCTTACTAAAAATTATAGGATACCGAATAAGAAACAAAATGGAGGCTCAGATAGGACCATCGCAATTTGGGTTTAGACCTAGAACAAGCACTATTGATGCACTGTTTGCTGTGAGAATTTTATCAGAAAGAGCCACAGAAACGCAAAGGGAGTTGTACATTAGTTTTGTCGACTACGAAAAAGTTTTTACAAAGTATAACACCCACTTTTAATGGAAACGTTAAAGAGAGTCAATCTAGACACAAATGATTACAAACTGATTGGCAACCTATACTGGGACCAAACTGCCACAGTTAATCTGGACAACATAGAAACAGTACTGTGTCAGATAGAAAAAGGAGTTAGACAAGGATGTGTATTATCACCCACACTTTTTAATGTTTCTCTGAACAGATAACACAGGAATGTTTCTGCAAAGATGTGGAGATCAGGGTTGGAAGAGTGAATATCAATAACATCCAGTACGCTGACGATCTCACATGCATTGCCACATCTGCGACGGAGCTCCAACAGATTTTAGACTTACTCCAAGCAGGCAGTGCAAAATATGGCATGTGTATCAACGGAAAAAAGACAAAATGGATAAAAATTAGTAAAGACTCTGCAGCGGACAATTCCCAAATCTTTGTAGACGGTACTTTACTGGAAGAAGTAACCAAATTCAAATATCTTGGAGTCATTATAACAAGAGATGGTAGACGTGATAAGGAAATCTGAACACAAATCCAAATGGCAAAATCAATCTTCTCTAATCTCCAGCGAACACTTACGGATAAGAAACTAAGCCTGGAGATAAAGCTTAAAGTACTGCGCTGCTACGTATGGTCTGTCTAGCTGTACGGGTGCGAGACGTGGACCCTGAATAAGGGCACAGTGAAAAGACTGGCAGCTTTTGAAACGTGGTGCTACCGCTGCATGCTACGGATCAGCTGGACAGAGCATGTGACCGATGCACACGTGCTGCAACGAATTGGAGTGGGAGAGCGACAGCTGCTTCCTATCGTAGTGGGATGCAAAGCGAGGTACTGTGGCCATGCCATCTGGGCCACCAACTCACTGCTTCCTGTCATACTGCAGGGCAGGATCCAAGGAACACGTTTCCGGGGAAGACAGCAGAGGACCTACCTACAAGATATAGCAGAGTGGACTCAAATTAATAAGAATCACACTGCAAGAGATCAGGAGGAGTGGCGATCAATTGTTAGCAACCTCCAGCTCAAAGAAGCAACATAGAAGAAGAAGAAGTGAAATTTGGGAAAAAATTTCATTTGTAAATTTCACTTTGAAATGATTTGCTAATTACCAAAATTTTAAAAAGAATTACACAAAAGACATACTCTATTGGCCACTATTGACATTTCTGGTAGTTAAAAATTTCACGAAAATTAGCTATAATATGATTATATGCAATGTTGAATCAGGAAAAGATTAATTTGTCTTGTTTTTGATGATGATTATGATATTCAAAATTAAATGGAAATTTTCTTAACTTTGTTCAAATAATAAAACTTAAAAGAAACTGAAAACTAAATTCAAATATGATAAATATTTGTAGAAATATAAAAAACTGAACTATAATTAGCTAATTATAGAAATATAGCACCTATGCTGAATAGATTTAACTACTTTGGCTAAATATGAACTGTCAATGGCATTTGCCATTCTCTCTCTCTCTCCCTATATATATACAGTTGACCCCCTATAATGCGGGTTCGTATATCGTGGCGAAAAAATTGCAACCGTATTTGTATAAAGATGCTAAAAGAGACTCGTAAAATGCGGTAAAACATCATTGCCGACTCATGTCACAACAGGATTGGTCGAATCTGGACCAATAGTGGACAAGCAGCCGAACTACTTACACGCTACAGAGAGTTTAGGCGGGTAAGGTGAGTTTACTATCGTCTGTACAGTATATAAATTAAGTACTGTAAGTCTAATACAGTACTGTAATTTTATACATTTCTTGTGAAAAAAAAAACATTTCTTATTTAATGGCCATAAAAATTATATATTTATATTAATGATGTCTCCAAAGTTCAGTGAATTTTTTGCAGAAAAATAACTTATCAGAAAATGCGGCTGCCGTGTGGTGTGCTGCTCCACAACGAAAACAAGCTTAAGCAATGGCGTTGTCAAATGGTGCACACTCGGTAAGTAATCCTACAATTTTTTGTTTATAGCATAGTTTATACGGATTATTCCCAAAAAATTATACATGTTTTGGAAAGATTGAGTCAAATTAGTCCAGAATCGATTAATTTTATGGAAGAAAACCTTTCAAACAACTGTAGTCCGTAAACTGCACACGTGTTGGGCTGTGATTGGCTCATGTATTTAAAGATTCCTACATCATAAAATTCTTATAAAGCGGAACGTATCTACCAGTAAGCAGGAGTTATGGGTTCAAATCCTGCTCCAGTCCAATTCTTCTCTTCCGAAATATTCAAAATTCAAAATTAATTCTAATTATTAAATTTATGAACGAATGGAAGCTTAACTGACTACCTCTAGCCAAACTGATTTATATCTAATTAGTTATTAGCCTTAATATAGCCTGATAATCTGGAAGATCATCTGGCAATATGAATGTATCAAGTAGTAGCTTATGTATGAATGTTTTAAGCTTAATTACAGAAATTTCTTTAAAATTTGCTATCCTATTTTATTTACAGTATAATATATGCTCAAATAGTATCCTCGTTTATATTAAAAAAAATGGCGAATTAAATTTTCTGATCCTAGAAAATTTGAAGTGTGAATATCAATACAGGTAATTTGAATGTTTTCAAATCATCAATTAGAAAGATAAAGATAGTATATCTGTCTGTCTATGTGTTTATTTTATTATTATTAATACATACTTTTCACTAGACAGCTGAGCTCTAACTTCACACACTTTCTGCGGAGGAACAGTTGTCCATTTCTTTGCTAATGAAACCATAGCTGCTGCATCCATCATTCCATATCCAAACGAATGACTGACTGAAAAATGAAATTTAGTTATTATTAGAGTCAATTTTAAGTTAGTTTATGTATTAAGGAGATTAATGTATAAATATTTAAAAACAATTAATAAAACTTAATGAGATTTTAAAAATGGAGTGTTGACATGAGCTGAATAACTTCATTTGAGTAATCACTAAGTTTCTCTCTTGAGAAGAAATCAAGTAGACTAGTTTTAATTTTTAATAAATTAAATTAAAAATTTTCACTGTTGTTAAATTTAAAAAAGTTACCAAGAAATATTAAGAATGGTCAAAAAAATTATAAATCAAATATTTTAAATCTAAAGATGAAAATAATAATAATAAAAATCATGAGTTTAGGAAATTTGCCTTATATTCAAGAACTTTTAATGTATATTTGAATAAAATTGACAAGTTGCATAAATGTTCACATGTAGAAATAAAATATCTAGACATTAGATAAATTTCTAAACATTAAATTTCACTAATGACATAATCAAAAAACTTTAATTTTCAATTATTATATTCATCAAACCTTGTGAAGGAAACTGTCATAACAGTTTAAAAAGACTTAGAAATTGATGACTATCCACTATCCAGGAAGACCTGCTATTGTTAGAAAAGTCATTATCAGAAGAGTAAAAGAAGACAGATCAAACAAGATCAGAGTTAAACTATCAACAAAATTAGTAAATGTTTTGGAAATTTCTCACAGATGATTCAGTATATTCAAGCACCCAGCAACTTGAACATGCATCATGTCTTCCAGTACTTTGTTTCAAGTGCTTTAACAATGAAGCTCATTCTGGTGAACAGACTGATAGAGAAGGTTAACTGGGATCATTATCTAATGAAGTGATTGGTAATGACAAAAACATTGTGTTTTCTGTACCTCCAAACCAGATTCCTTGATTTAATAATTACCTAGGTTCACTACTAATTGGCAGGATAATTATTTCAGTGACTTTCCAACAGCTGCAACTTTAATTTCCAATACAACTTATCTTCCTTTATCTAGAGTAACGCATGTAGTTATCAACTAAGGAAATGATATACACTTCAAAAAACATATCAAGCTAGTAAAAAAAAAAAAAAAAAAAAGGCAGTGTTAGTGGGTCTTTTGTTTTACATCCTTGGTTTAATATAACATTAAATTCATTCCCGGTAGTTCGACTATCAGAAATAAAAGCTATGCCAATATTTTCAGACATCTGCATGAAGACATACGAAAGTGATGCAATTTGTCAGAGATGCAACTCTCACATAACATGTATTTATACATATATATGTATATGTGATAATCTGAAGGTATTCTTAAATGGATTTATATAATTTTTACCTCAAACAACTTAAATAAATAATTTAACTACAGTTAAAATGGGAAAATTGATAAAATTTAGAATAAAGATAATATAACCTAAAAAGGTTATAAAAACTACAACATCCTGAAAAACTGCTCTATCACACCACATTTTACAAGAACTGAGGATGTTTTGCTTCCTTCCTCCACCCCTTATATCTTAGAATTTTGCACACCACCTGTGCAAATGACACAACCTTTCTAGGAATTATCGTTGTGCAGTAATCTGTAATAAAAAGGGGCAGAATAGCTAGAGTCGGGGCAGTTCTTCCCAGACCTTGCCATAGGAAGGCAGTTCACACAGATAGAACATGCCACATACAGTCTCCCATTCTTGAATTGGGACCAGAGCACGCCTAGCCAGCAACCACCGACTATTTGAGTCATGTACACCGAGGTAATATGATTTTATTGTAAACTCTCTCTCTCATACGGATTATAGTCATAAAGTAGACACATGTTTTATGTTTTCTTATTATATTATTTGTATTTGTTATTTTAGTGTTCTGTGATTAAATTGTTGATTCTTATATTCCTGACTTTCGTAGTCGAGTATTTATTCCTTATGCACAACCCACACAGAATCTTACCACTTGGGTTCTGAAAAAATTAAGCCATCCAGTGACAAAGTGAGCAGGTCTAACAGATCTGACGATTAGAGGGCCTTGACCCTCTCCGTATTCTCACATATATTATATACATAATATAATTTAATGAAAAATGTTATAAAAATGAAAAATAATATAAATATGTATATTAATATAAATATATATATTTATATTATTATTTTTCATTTAACATTTTTCATTAAATTATATTATTATTTTTCATTTTTCTCAAAATGAATTATTGTATTAAATCAATATTATGAATAACAATGGTATATCTACTTACAAGTTAGTGTTAAACTATCAATTAAAATTTTATGTGCAGTCAATAACACCAATATAATTACATTTATCATTTAGTAGTGTTTAGTTTCAAAGCTGTTACATATGTTTGTGAGATCCCGAGCACAATTAATTAGTTAAATTAATGGATTAAAAGTTAACACACAGTTAATTTTTGAAGTGGAAAAAAACCCACTTTCTTTTCCCACCACCTGGACTTTCTGGTGCCCTCTGACCGATAGATAAAGATGATCAAATAACCATACAAATTGACAATTTTTAATGATGTTTTGAATAAGTTTCAGGAATAAATCCAAACAAATGGTTATTAATGGGGAGAAACATCAAAATTGGTTAATTTATGAGGTAAGAAGAGTCACAATGCCTCATTGATGACATCTAAGAACTTCGAATTTGTTCACCTTAAATGGTAAAAAGAATCAGAACACCTGGCAAGAAAGTATAAACAATCCAGCCCAGTCGTCAAAGTCTGCTTCGGCTGATGTGATGACAGCTTGAACTTAGGACCACATCACCTGATTTTCCTCCTACGCTCAGTAGGATAAAAAAAAGGAGCTGATTTCAGAAGGTCAAGGCAGACATAGTTTCAAGAGCCTACAGACGGAAGCTCTACCCACCAATATCGTCACCAATTTCATTTCCCTCTGAAGCAACCTCCACCAAAGATCCACGATCATCTTCCGACCTTCACATAACCTGGATCTGGAGACATCAGTCCAGACATAGAGGTATTTTACTTAGAGAATTGCAAACTCTCTCTCTCTCAGTCTATTAGTGTATAAGTACTCAGCTGTATATTGTAATCCACTTTATTTTTATATTAAATGTATTGCTTTGTTAACCTGTTAACCTGTCTTATTTGGAAAAACCGGACACCCTATCAACAGGCTCATTGCGCCTCCCTACTCAATGGTTGAAAAGCACTCCTATTTCATTCCACTATCCAGTGACACTTGGGTGGCCTTTACCAGGCTGATGCCAATCAAAGGTTTAGAGCTTTACTCTAACCCCTGGCTTCTCACGTGTTTATATTTGCAATGAGTCAATAAAACAAAAGGAAAGCATTATACGATTTGATTAACTCTAAATAATTTTGAAAATATTTCAACATTAAATGATAATTATAAATTCAAAGCACTATTGCAATAATGCTAATTTCTTAAATTTTTTTGTAAAGAATTATTAAATGGCAATCTCAGAGCAAAAATGATCAAAGTCCAGTTTTTGGTGCTACAGCCTTAGTGCCACAATCATCTTCCAAGCTTCAATTCTTAAAAGCTTAAAGCAACTGCTTTATCTAATGCAATACAGATCTGAGTCAATTTTTTTTGTTATGTCCCATGTTCAAAAAGAAGAAAATGAGAAATATGTGAAAATTTTCATTAATTATCTCAAAACAAAGATTCACTGACGTGGATCATTCTTGCTCTGATGTCATCAAATGATACTTAAGTAAATGATTTATCACTTTTATTTGAATCAAATTTTTAACAGTAATTTAAATTAAACGTTTTCCTTTTCCTACCATTTCTTCCAACTCCATTTACTGCCCAATCTTTAGCAAATAAATTAGCTGGATTGGCTGTTCTTACAACAATATGTTGCATATCTCTCCAGGTTAACTGTTTGCTATATTAAATCAGAAATAAATTATAAATTTGAATTTTTTTTATATACATTTTGCAATAAATTGTACAAAATCAAAAATTTAACTACTTTAATATTTCTAAACTGGTATAAGTTTAGAAGGATTAAAGTAGCCAAAATATTTAATTTTATAATCAAAATCATTATAACAAATCACCAAAACAACAAGAGCTTAACTTCAGGAAATAGACAGAAATATAAAAAATCTAGTGATTTAAACAAATGATAAAATATAAGCTCATTTATAGAAAAAGAAAAATTTTAAAAATATACATATTAAAGCTTAATTACACTTATGACTAAAGAATAATGACTAATTAACCTTTTCTAAGAAAATAGTAAAACCAATAAAAAGTCATTATAATGAATTTTTATTGGCTTTACTATTTTCTTAGAAAAGGTATTTCTGGGAAAAAAATTACTCAATGCAAGAAGGAAACATTTCTACATCTAAAAATGAAATTAAAGGTATCAGATATTTGTTTATATTCTTAAAAAATAGTGATATTTTATTACAATATTTCATAGCTTTTGAGTGTTATTAAAATTTTAATTATCTTACAAAACTTCTATTTATATAGGTCTCTTAGAATATCATGTTATAATAAAGCTTCTCTGAAATACCGATAAGGTTTACAGTAAAAAAAAGAAAAATATTTTTTTTTGACAGACTGTCTTCAGGAAAACAAATATTCTAATTGAAAGAGCCAAATTGTGGAATATAAGATAAAAAACCTCAATAAAAAAAATGTATTCTCTCAATGATATAAATTTATAGACAAAAAAGGTTGCTTCTGAAAGATTAAAATTACTCTATACCTGTGTTAATTCCTTCCATTTCTCAAGCCAGCTGATATAAACAACAAACTTAAAAATATCATATAATGAACTTAAATTTCTTTATTTGCAAACTTTAAAATGATTAATTAAGATATTTACTTTGCTTCTAATGCTAATGCACATATTCCAGCTGCTAAAGGAGCAGAAGCAGAAGTTCCTGTATGGCTAGAAGTGCATTCATGCCTTAAATCAGTAGTTACCTATTAAGATAAAAAACATTACTATATCAAAAAGATATACTATAGGAAAATTATTGTTATGTGTGAATCTACAAAAATAAAGCCTGAGAAACATTTTATATATAATTGTCTGGGATCATGTATTTTAGAAACAAATCTTATCACAACAATATAGCAAATTATTGCTACACTACTGTGAAACAATATGTAAAAAATAATATAAACAAATCCACATAAAAATAATGTAAAGAAATTTGTAGCTTTCAATGAAACTTACAATTTGTTTCTCGCCAGCAGAACCACTACTGTAAGTTGTAGCAAGAGTGGATGAACATGCCTCACTGTACCAAGGAACTAAACCATTTTCAGTAGCACTACTAATAGATAATGTCCATATTGAATTTGTATAACCATCACAGTTGCAATTGTCGCTGTCGCGTCCACCGTTTCCCGAAGCCCAGACAAATATCGATCCTAATCCGTTCCGGCCCTAAACAAGAAAATATTTTAAAATCTTTTATTGTATTTTTCAATAGAAATAATATTTATTTAAACTTTCTTACATACTTTCTTAATTCCATCTTTAAAAGCTTTTGTTGCTAGAACTCCGGGTCCATCTACTGTTTTTCCGTCATCGTCAGGTCCCCAGGAGGCACTATAAATATCAATATGCTGCGGATTAAGACTGAGCGATCTCGCTTCTACAGCATCAGTAACATCTCCATCTAACATTTTTACACCTGAAAATATTGTTATAAAATTATTGTAGACACTGAATAAACAATTACTTACTGTACTAGAATTAAATTACCTCCAACATGGGCATTAAAAGCTATACCAACAGCACATATGCTATTATTAGCAGTTGCAGCAACTTCTCCAGCACATCTTGTTCCATGTCTGAAAGTTGTAATTATATTAAAAAGCATAAAATCACAATAAAAACAAAAAATTTTTAAAATACTTACCTATTAGAATTGAGAAAATCATAACGGGGTTCAGGATTATCATCATTATTATTGACATCATAACTAGCAAGTGGATCCTAAAATAAGAATTATTCTATATCATTTTATATTATCAACAATCTTCATACATGGTTACAAATATTTTAAAGCCATCCTCTAAACAATGAAGATACTAAAAGATCAGATTAAGGTTACCAATAACAAAACAAAAGCCATATAACCTGTATTTTATTTTGATGTGACAAGATATAACTGGTTCACTAGTCATAAGTAGATAATCATCCAATTCTACAGATGATTTGTATATATATGTAATATATGATCATATGTATCTATGCATACACAGGCATGCATGTACGCACATTCAACTCTCTGATTAATACATAATACTGTAATAGCATTCGGAGCAAATGTGAAAGAATAAGACAAATTACAGAATGCTTGTATCTTTTAAAAACTGAATTTATTAGCATTCCATATCTTTAAATTTTATAGTAGTATTAAAGAGATAATAGGAAATGCTAAGCATTAAGTTGAAAATAAATACAGTAAGGATTAGAAAGTTAGGTAGTAATAACAGTAATAAAATCATGTGATTTTGTTGAAACTAAGCAGACAGAGACAGATATGTGGCATAATTTTTCATCATATGTAAGGTTCGATGAATGGAAATTAGTTCATTAATATGGCAAAACGTGTTTATAAAAAGGTGACATCTATTTAGGACTTCCATAGAAGAACTATTTGAAAATAGAAAAATGACAATTGCTTGCTTATGTAAAAAACAAAAATAAGCTTCAAATATACTAATTTCTTATTGCCTTTTCTTGTTATATATAATATCTTAGAAAAAAATTACATGTACTATGATTCATTTTGTTTTTAAAACTTCAAGATTGTAGAAACTTGATATTTTTGTTTTTAAATAACTATCAAATGTAATAATATACTGATTGTGAAATTTTCAAGATAAGAAATTGAGGTTATAGGAAAAAAGTTTTGTCTTTTTCACTTTATTATTTTCTTTTTTAATTTCTCAAACTTCTCTTAGATTATTTATAAAATGTATTAAAATTATATTAAAAAAATTATTATTAGTTGGAAAGAGAGAATATATAGTTTCAAATGTCATCAATGCTATTGAGGATGATAAAAATTAAATAATTTGTCCAAATATTTACATGTTATAAAACATTTTTAGTATGTAAAGTGTGTTACATAACATACAGTAGAGCGTTGTTTATCCGAAAGTCAGTTATCCAAAAGAATTCCAGTCGGCAAATTTAAATTTCCGCTAGTGCTGTGGCGCTGCAATCTTTGGCTACTCCAATATTTTTTTGTTGATGTTGTGTGCTTTAACTGGTGGCACTGGCACTTTTGTGTGGTGTTTTTCTGAGGACTGTGTGTCGTGCTGAATCGAACGTTTTTGATACTAGATTAACTTCTAAAGTATAATTTTTTTTTGTTTTTATATTTTTCAATATATTTATTTTGTGATACAATAGCCACGATTATTTTAAAAAGTTTACATTAGGCTTAACATCGACAAAAATTCAATGCGAAGTGACATGCAACAAAGAAAAATTTCAATATGGGATATTTTTTCGTAAATAATCGGTTATCTGAAAAATAAGTTATCCGAACAACCCCAGTCCCCAATTGATTCGGATAAACGACGCTCTACTGTAATTACAATCAAAATTAGTCTAACATAGTTTAAATAATTCAAATTATTACAAAACAAAAAATGAAAATAAATGGAGATAGTTTACCCCAATTATAACGTCATCAGATGTAACGACAACCCTAATATAACATCAAATTTTTATTGGTCCCATGATTTTACTATACTATATAATGTTAAAAAATCTACTTGTAATGACAAAACCCTGTTTTTAACGTCATATTTAAAGCACTCCCAGATTTACAAAATTAGATTACAAATTTTATTTAACAAAGAAAATACAGTACATGTACTACATGTTCAGTTTCTAGGGTCAGAGTCCACTTCCTAGAATGACTGTGGGTGGTACTCTCACCACCTGACTTCGATGGGGCGAGGTTTGTCACATCTTCAAACGATGTGACGATCGGTTAGTATGCATAGTTACTCATGTTATTTTATACAGATGAAGATATTGTTGAGCAAATTAAATTGTCAGACGCAAAAAATGAGGATGATAAAGATAAAATATCAGACAGAGAAAATGAAGTGCCGTCAACCAGAGAAGCAATAAGATGTAATGCAATAAGATTATTGAAAATGTTTTACAGGTCTCGGAAAACTTCATCAAAAACAATGAATAAAGTGTATGATTTAGAAAATGACACTGATAAACAATTTTTAGGTGAAAAACACCTACAATTTAAAATAACTGACTTTAAGTGAATATTGTTATTGTGTCTCTTTAATTGGCATACATTTAACCTTTTGATTTGACATTATTCTCAAAGCCAGAAGTGCCACCATAATCAAAAATAAAAATTTCTTATAAAATATAATTTTTGAAATTTTTAATTACATCGAAGTAAACTTAGACGTAATAACGTAAATAAAGTTGATTTAAACATTTAGTTTGCACATTTATACATATGATAATAAATGATTATTACCATAATAGATACAGTATACTGTATTACCATTAAGAAATAATTTTATGGTAATACATACAATGATTACGATGATAAATTAGAACGGATTTTATAATAGATTCTTAAACACACTTGGTACTTTTTATGGGACTGAAATTATGACCCCGCAGATAACGACACTCGGTTATAACATCAAAAAAATTGCCAGTCTCATGGATGACATTGTGTTAAATTATATTTATGAAAAAGTGAATGTATTAATTTAATTAGTACTTATAATATTAACTGAATTTATGGTGTAAATGAGAAAAATAGAGTGAATAGTTAATATAATCACATAGAAAAAGTAAACATGCAGCCATAAAAAGCTATCATATTACAAGATAAATGGTATCAAATGAAGAATATTCAACCAAGAAATAATATTCCAACTCATAGTCAAATCACTTTCCATTTTGTGTGTATTCAAAAATATGTTGAATATTTCATTACATCAGCATGATAAGTTTACAAATATTTAAATTTTAGTTATGATTAAATAAAAATCAAACCCATAATGTAAAGTTCCCTTATTTCCATCATCATAAATAAAAATTATTATTCAGTTATTATTATTATTAAATTACAGTTAGAAAAAAAGCAAAATTTATTAGATGTGAACAAATAATTATCAAATGAAATGATGCACACTTCAAATTTTTGAAATTTCTCAATTAATATAATTGATACATTGATTAACACAAAACTGGAGTTAATTTTGAATTGGGTTTAAAATAATTTAATACTAAATATTAATAAAAAAGTGGCATTTTATGATCAGGTGACAGTGTACTTGTGTGGGATCCCAGCTGCCTTTTTTGTGTCTTTCATGTTGACCATCTACGGCCAGAATGGTTGCTGAATGGCAAGTTCCATCAGCCACACCTTGGTGAAAGATTTAGCATTATGTGGGTTCACAAAGTTTCTCACTCAATAACAACCAATTGACAAAACAGATTTTATTGATAATCTCAGAGATCAATACTCTTCCACTTTACACAGTTTATACATGTTCTACTTTTCTCCATAATGTGTAGCAATTGCATTTAAAAATGAAAGTTAAAATCAAACATTTCCAGAAATAGCAAATTCCCTTTGGTATGTTGGTTTAGTTCTCCTTGGACAGTTTCTCCTCAAGTAGCTCAGTTCTCCTGAGGTAAGCTAGTTAGTTCTTTTTCTTCAGTCTGGCACATTCACACATGTATCCTTTAGTGATAACACAGATAAATCTGTTTGATAGGCTTCATCGACAATTTGATGATGACAACTCAAGCTTTTAAGGTTGTGGTATCCCCTTTTATAGATTCTGATTTTGTCAATCTGATGCTGACTTAACAATCACTCGAGTTGAGTTGGCAATTTGCCTACCCACAGAAAGGCTCTCAATGTTTATTTGAACTGTGAAGTGTCTTTTGACAGTGTCATTTCCTGGAGGGATTACAGCAGTCTACAGTAGAGTTAAAAATCAGGACCACAAAATTACATGTACATGTAAAAAAGCTTTTCTAAATATTTTTTAAACTAAATATAAAAAAATATAGTTTATAAAAAATATTTCTAAATATTATTTTAAAAAGTTCAAATATTATATAACACATTAAAGCAATAAATATATTTTTACTTTCACTCAAAATTATTCAATTTTTCTTTAAAATGTCTAAGAATTGCATTTCCCAGCACTAAAATATTAAACTAATTTTTTTCTTCTTTTGAGATCAAATTATTCTGCTTCTTAATAAAAACCTAGCACTAGTAATTCTTATCCAATACATAAAGTGAACTGAAAAGTTCTGAAACTTTGCTTTCCTTTTTAGAAAAACCAATCAAAATAAATTTTACTCAGCTTCACATTTTCTCCAATTCAAGAAACATTTAAAAATAATAATAATAAGCTTTCAGAGATTGTGTAGGATAAATCAGAAAATTTTGCAAACTATTGATTTGCCATTTTCTTTCTAAATGACTCGAGTTAATAGAACTTGCTCAATCCCTTGAAAAAGATTGATTTTTCTAAATATTTCCTGAATTTGTAAAAAGTGTATTGTAGCTCAGTAATTAGTTTGATATCAGAATAAATTTCTTTATATCCTAATATAGTCTGGAACATTTTGAACATACCTTATACTAAACTTTTTTCCAAAAGTTTAGAAACACCTTAATCAACAGTTGCACTATCTATTATATTCTTAACATTATTTCGTGAGCAAGTTTTTTGTGAAAGTTTTATCAAAATTACTTGCACACTTCATTAAAATTTGTCATAAGCGTTTCCCTTAAAGTAATTTAATTTGGTGCTATTAATATAATCTGGAACATGTTTCAGAAATATAAAAACAATGGTATATGTTTCAAAAGTTTAGAAACATGTAAATAAAACATTTAAATGTACAAGTGAAAGTACAATATTAAAGCAAGAAGTGTTTAAGCTTGTGTTCTGATGCATCCTTTTGATTTTTTAAGTAAATATGTCTAACTCAATTGTCAATTGCTTCAAATGAACAAATTCACTCAAATTAACTTGATGTTATTCTATCTATTAGATTTTTTTTCTGTTTAGTTGTATCAAATTAATCTATTTGTGAAAGAACTGTTTTGAACTAGATGCAAAATGATAATTTACGGAACATGAACATTTCTTGTTTTAATATCACACAATTACCTGCATATTTAAAATGTTTTATTCACCTGCTTCTAAACTTTTACAACACATTCAAAAAAGTATAGAAACACTGGTAAACACAAACTTAACCCAGTTCATATCAACAGCACTAAATTAAATTACTTCAAGGAAAATGCTTATGCCAAAATTTTAATAAAGCATTTGTGTGATTTCAATAAAACTAGCATTCAAAAAACTTATATTCTTAATGTTATGATGCAGTAATATAGACAATGTGACATTGATTGAGGTGTTTCTAAACTTTTGGAAAGGAGTTATATGAATATTGTGATATCCAGTTATTAGACTGTTGGATCAGAATTGTTGCTTTGGTAAATAAAACAAATTTTATAAAAAAAATTATTAAATGTAAAATTTCTAATGGATATTTTAATACGTAATACAAGTGATTCTATTACATAATGTTAAAAAAAGCCACATATTTGTACAGTATGTTATTCTAGTAGATTTGTTGTGTCCAATTTTTCTTATTACAAGGAACAAATAATTTTATTGGAATATATTTATGTTATTTGTTTATATGATTTAGGTTAAACTGATTCAGTACCTTCAATACTTTATATTAATGATTCAATACCATTATAAGTAAAATTAATTCTTATTGAAAAGTAAGAATACTGTACTTACATAATTTGATTTTATATCGGGATGATCTTTTTCCAATCCGTCATCTAATATTGTAACTACAATGCCTTGACCAGTTATACCTTTTTTCCACGCATTCTGTACATTCATATCCAAACCATGGCCACGATTCTGAAGAAATTTATAAGATATTTGTAAACATTCAATATTTTAAGTAGTTTGTTTGGGCACACACATACATTAAACACTTTCACAAATTAAATTTGAGATAAACTTTTTATCCTGATAAGAAAAAATTTGAATTACTTTATATACTCTTATAGAAAACAACTATAGAGCTACCTGTAGGCTGAAAGTGAAATGCAAACACCATTTTGCAATATGCTGCTTGTATGACAGCATATTGCAAAATCATTTTGTATGTTATCTTGAAAATGACCAGATTTTACAATACCTTTCAATATACATTGTTCCCCAAAAATGTGTGCATGCTTTGATTGTTAATAACTTCTACCTTTATTCTCTTAATTACAATTACAAAAATATAGATAGATATTAATAACAATCAAAGAATGTTAACATTTATCAGAATATTGGCTAATATAACACATGCAACAAATTGAGATAAAGTTTCAATAAAAACAACAATGATCAATTTCTAAAATATATTTTTTGTTAATTAAAAAAATTTCTATCAGTTTTTATTTATTTAGAATAGAAATTAGATCAAAATAAATAATTATCAATAATACTGGGCTTATTAGCATGGAATAAACTTTAGGCATATTCGTGAAGTCGAATGAATTAAAACAGAATGATGTCATTACTCCATCATACATTTTTGACTGGGTGATGTATGGAATGGCTGATATATCTAAGAGCTAAAGGTGAGAGAGAATGCTGCAAGTGCAATCATTTGTGTAATTTCATCTGTAATCCAATTTGTATACTTGAGTGAATTTAGAAATATCATCAATATATATTTCTAAATTTTTCACAATAATATTTTCTTCTTGGCATGAACTAACTTTTCTTCACAAACTTCATTAGTTTCAGTTGTATCATCATTACAAAACATGTAACAAACATTGAAGTAAACTTGAAAATTATTTATTCAATTTTCTTTACTAAGTTATTTAAATTTACTATTTTAGACTGTTAAATTTTGCTGTAAGAACTTTTAGTTATCTATTTTTATATGCACAATTACTTAAAAGAATATTCTTTAATTATTTTATTTTTTAAGCCTTTATTTAAAAAAAATTCTTAAAATTACAGTACAGCCTCGATTATACGACCTAATTGGGGACTGGGGTTGGTCGGATAATTGAAAGGGCGGATAACCAAAAAGTATGAAAAAATCTATTATTAGTGTAGTATATTATTATATCCCATGTAATTAGTATATTAGTATATTGCTATTAACCTACTTTGCATTGAATTTTCATCAATGTTAAGCCTAACAAAAATTTTTTAAAATAATAATCATCGCTATTGTATCGTTAAAAATTAGAAAGTTAAGCCTCGTTTAAATACTGGCTCCCTTTCATGGTCGATCCAGTGTTTCCAGCTAAAACACGTAAAAATAATATTAAAGTAGCCAAGACACAGCCAAATATTGTAGCGCCACATCAATAGTGGACATTTGAAATTTGCTGACTAGGACGGTCGGTTAACTGAGGGGTCAGTTGATAGGGGGTCAGATAATCGAGGCTCTACTGTATTTAACAGTTTGCACTTATTTTGGACTATTATGTATAAAAATCATATTGAATAAATTCCAAAAAAAAGTTGTTTTAATTTTTAAACACACTTATTTCAGTGAGATATAATTTTAGATGCAAATACAGTCAAGCCCATGTCAACTGGAATCGCATGGTACAAATTTATTTCCTCTCTTTTGAACAGGTTTTAGTTTTTTTTTTAATCTTTAAACTACACCAGATAAATATCACACAGTTACCTTCACTTTTTATAGTAAAATCATTTTTACATACATAAAGTTTATTGCACAGCTTAATCCAGATAATGATTCCAACTAACAATAGAGGTATTCAAATGAAAGAATTGCAAACTATTCAATTGTAAAAAAATTCTTGTCCTCCTGAACATATGTTAGATATTTGAATACTTCTTGAATGCACTCCTTAAGAGCTCACAACAGCAAACAAGTAAATTCTAGTACCAAAAACTAGTGTGTTGCTCCATCATCAAAAATTCTAATCACACAGAAACCCAACTTATTCTGAGATCTGATATCTTCAGAAGTTTTACTTACATTTACTTCAATCTCTAGTTATCAAGAATGTTAAATCAACTTATTTTTGATTACTCAATATTCAAAAATAAGTTAATTAATAACTAGTAGTAATCACTATGTACAAGGCAAATTGACAGCACTGTGTTACCTTATGCTCATTGTTTTCACTAATTGCATTCATTGCTTATTCTCAAAAATGCTATTCTTGGAAATTTGTTCAATTCTTAAGTATTTTATTTTGCCTCTGGTTAATTCCAACAAAAACCTTGAGTCCTTATCAACATTGATTTGTATATATATTAGGGGAGTTGTGCCAATGACAACGGGTGAGAAAAATTTCTTGTTGATAGATTTTAAGTAGATATAAAATAAGATTGTGTAGTGTATACACTACTCAATTCCACTCCTAACTTTTGTAATATGGTATAAAATAAACATAAATATATCATGGGAGGGAAATAAGTGAAATCTTAATTTTCTGCTTTTAGTTCCATTTAAGACAGATTTTACTGTATATAAACACAATGATAGTTTTGGATGAACATACCAAATACCACATCTGAGGCCATCGTGGATCGTTTAGATTAATATGACCCGATTTGTTTAATTTAAAATCTCTCTTTACTCTTCGTTTCACTTTTTGCTGGGAAAACCATTTTACCTAAAAATAAAAAAATAATAATAAATAATTATATATATAATGAAATAAATCAAAATATAACATTTTTAGTCATTAAAAATATGATTCAATTAATTAGATTGGATTGATGGAATAAGGCAACACAACACAGGGAGTGCACCTCCAAGGAGGATTTTTCAGTGGGAAACTGGCCCCTATTCAAGTGTTACACATGAAAACATAATAATGTCATGTGGCCAGCATGTCTGTGAAGCATAAACTCATAACCAACTACCAATGTAATACTTTATCCACTCAGCTACTGGTGGGTTCTAAATATATTGAACATCCCATACTTAAATCAAAATAAAAAAATAATTATCATAGCAAAACTAAAATTAGAGAAATTAAATTATGTATAAATTCATTTAGCACAATATAAAAGGCACTGTATTATAATAACTGTAGCTTTAATTAACTTATCAATTTTTTTAATAAGAACATATTATCAAAATATTTTTTTAATTAAAATTAATCTATATTATAAACATGTTCTAAACATGTCAATAACATTTGAGCATCAAATTCCTATAATCAAGGCTACAATCGTTGCTATCAAATTCCATAAACAAAATACTTGGCCTCCTTGCATCGTATCAATATAATATCCAAAATGTTGATAAATGTATCTTTGACAAAGACATCAAATACTGCTACAATATTAATAGTTTATACTACAATATCACAATATTAGTAAAATTTCCACAAATGCTCATTCAGTATTCACAACTATGCATGCTGAATCTGGTTCAAGTAAGAAAAGAAAGGAAAAAAAAAAAAAAAATGTTTGATAAATGTAACTATAAAAGTGAATAATTTATCTTATGAGCAAGAAAAAAAATTACAAACATATGCTTAAAATAAAACATGAATTATAATGTAAATACAATGCAAGGTATGAATATATTATGTACATTTTTTAAGACATTTAGTTTACACAGTTACACAATCTGCATATTTTTTGTGTCCTAGCCAAGTCCTCCATTTAGTTCCTATGGATGCAAAATTTGTACAATTTGTTTGTACTTACCAACAAAAATTTATGCAAATTTGAATTTACATATACAGTTAAACCTTGATTTTTTAATTTCCTAGTTGTTCAAAAACCAATTTATTCTAAAACTGAAACAAATTTTCCCATAAACAATATAAAATGGATTAATCCATTCCTGACCCCAAAGCAAAGCCTTTTCTTTTTTACCTTTTTAGCTGTATTTTATGCATAAAAATGCCTACAAATGCAATATTGTATTATATATAATATATTGTATTATATTAAAAGCAAAATATTCCATCACCACTAACTGAAATCAACACTTTACAAAGAAATGCTATAAATACAGACTCAACTCTAACTTCCTGCATGAAATATAACCAAACCATTCAAGATGGACAACAAGTACTTTATCTACACTTTCAGAAATATTATGTTTCAATTGATTTGATTTTTAATTTTAGAGTAAAGACCAAAATCTTAATTATCATTTTAATTATTTTTAAATTTAATTAACTGGCTACCTAGTATTAATTAAATATTATAATATATATTATATTATATTAATAAACTTTTGTTATTTACCTAAGCATATTTATTACCTAAACAAGAATTCTTGAATGTCAATTAATGTAGTTTTTATTAATTAATTTGATTTAACTGTGGTGCATACCAAAAAAATGGAAAAATAGTCTCTCTCTCACATGCAAATCAAAATCTAATTTAAATAGCTACGTCGTCGATTTGTGTTGCAATGTGTAATGACCCAAGGCTATATCGGCGCCACTAACTTCTAAACTGGTAGACCCGTCACTGATTGGTCAGTCCATCGACTTTCTTTAACATAGGAAGTATACAGAATTGATCATCTGTGGCCAGCTCTTTCCCAGTAGCTTGTTCAGCAACAGTTATTGTATGGCAACTAGGGCAAATACGAGTTCAAAATTTTGTTTGTGAACAAACTGTTTGAAAACTGAGGTTTGACTGTATTGGGAAGTACTTGGTTTTTTTGGTAATATATTGTCAAATGCTATTATTTCAAAATTAGTAAAATTTTAATTGAAAACTGTACAATATACTGTTCACGTTTATAAATAATCACATATTATTCACTAACCTTTGGCTCTTGTTGTAAAGTAATGTGATGTTCATGGCTATGATGAAGTGATCTCTTGGCAATCCTTTTATGCTGAAGATGATAAAAGTCTTCAAAAATCTGTAATATACTTTTATGTTAATTATACTTATAAATAACATCATCTTTCATAGAAAAAACAGTTACATTTAATCATTTGTGTTCATCTTACATTAAATTAGTAATTCTGTTAACTTTAATTAAAAACAGACACTTTAATTAATAATTTAGAAAAAAATTTAATTCTCCAATCCTTGTACGAATGTTACCAGTTATGCTTTTGAATGCTCCAAACCTTAATACATCATTTTTGTAGATTACGATTTATCATGCTAAAAGAAAGCATCTTAATACCTAATTCAATTGTCTACAACTTAGTATCTTGATAAATTACTTCAACATTTCAGAAGTTTTTGTTATCTTTTGGCAATCCCTTTATGCTGGAGAAGAAATTACAATTTTAATTAATTAAGCCAATCACAACAACCAAAAAGCAAACACGCTTCCTGTCAAAAGCCAAGAAATCCCTGAGAAAATTAGCACCTGATTAGGTAAAAATGTTTTGCTCTGACTTAAATCAGGGATTCCCTCTACTGCTTAGAATAAGTGGAAACAATATTTCTTATAATAGTTTTTTAGAGCTGTTTAAGAATAGACAGAAGGCTGGTTCAGGCACTATGAAGGGATATGAAGCTCCCATTTGGCAAATAAGATCAATATTTACATTGCCAACAATACTCTCATGTCTTGGCACTCACAAGATAAAGAATATTGCAAGTAGCCAGCTCACTATAAATTTCTTGTTGTTAAAATGGCACAAAGTATTAAACTATCTTTTATTTAGAAACCATCCATAGGTTATCTATCTTAAAAAAAATAAATAAAAACAATAAGTACATAATATCATAAGTTCCAAACTTGCAGAACGATTCTTTAAAGGATATACATATATAATAGAATAAAATAATCTACATAAGAATGTAATCACTTTAAAGAAAACTGACATAATTAATGTTCCTAAATCTAATTATATCTATCTAATAAAATATTGCATATAATCAATTGCAATAGTTGCAAAGTATAAGATATTTATAAAGTCGCTTTGTCTTTTGGTAAAATTTCAAAAGCCACTTGATACAGGTCAAATATTAAAGAAATATTAACAACAACATTTACCCATGATCAAGAAGTATCGAGAATAGTTCAATAAAATGCAAGATTTGAATTCATCAAAATTTATTTTGTTTCCTTCAAAGTAATCCCCACCAACTGCAATGCACTTATGTCAATGTTATTTTCCCAATCCTCAAAATATGCTTTAAAGTCATTTTTGTGAAACTGTTTCAGGACTCTCAAAGAATTTTGTTTTATGGCATCAATCGACTTGAAACAATGACCACAAAGCAGAAATTTTAGTCAAGGAAACAGGAAAAAGTCACATGGTGCAATATTCAATGAATACAGAGTTTGTGGAACCTTACCTGTTGAACTTTTTAGCCAAAAATTCATGAACAATGAGAGCATTTTGAGCAGGTGCATTATCGTGGTGCAAAATCCACGAGTTTTCTCACCATCAATTGTGTTGTTTTCTACAAATTGCTTCATGCAAACAACACAGGATGCTCAAATATTATTTTTTGTTGACAGTTTGATCAGTCGGAAGGAATTTGTGATGCAAAACACAACAATAAAAAAAAACGTCAACACAATCTTGATTTCTGACTGACTTTGACCTAGTCTTTTTGGTTTTTCTTCACTTTTCAAGTACCATTCACTCGATTGTTGACCAGTTTCAGTGTCAAAAGCATTATATTCATGCTTGAACACCTTGTAACGATGCATTTTAAGAACGATTCACCTCAAGAAAAAATTGGCCACTGAAACACATTGATTTGAAAAAAAATTCAACATTTTTGGGACAACTCAAGAAGTGATGAAACGCAAGCCCAAACAATCTTTTAAAATTACTTGACAAGATTCTTATGATACTGGAACATATTCAATAACATCCCTAATTGTTAAACAATCATTTAGCACCAAGTCTCTGACTCAAGCAACATGCTGTTCATCAGTTGAACCATGCTCTGTTAGACCATCCATTTCATCTTCAATGCATTCTTTGTCTTCCTTGAATATCTTGTACCACTCAAACCCTTGTTTTTGATAGATTATCATCACTAAAGGCTTTTTGCAACATTTCTGTATCAGTAATTCCATTGAAAAAACAAAAATTTAACATTCTTTGCTCAATTAAATTTGTTGAAAAATTGCCAGTGCAAAAAATTCTTTACACACACAAGCATTTATTTGCGAACAAAAACAGATGACATATGATTGCTTCTAGATGTCAATGAAAGTCATACCAAACAACAAAAAAAATTACAATGGCACCCACTTGCACAAATGCAGTTTAAACCATTCCCAATACTTTTTGATCACAGTAGTACAGTGGGTGATCAGTTAACGAAGATAAACCATTCCAAGACTTTGTTCGCTATCTGAACTGTTCATTAACTGACTATCGAGTTACCATAGGTTTTTATGGGAATTTGATTAATTCCGTTCTGGAGACCCCTGAAAATAAAAAATATAAATAAATGTAGTAAGAAAATATATATGTAATAATAAAAATACATATATACACAGTCTTGCATTTTCATTAGTCATGTTTTTTTGTTTGTGGGGTTAAAGAATCTAACGAATGAATTTCTTAGCAAATACTGGGAGGAAATATAATTCATCACACATAAAACCTGAAACTTCAGTAATACGGGTTTACAAAGCAGTGAACGTTTTTGACCCTATCAGGGTCTTCCTCAAGCTACAATTATGAGTATTTGAATTCCTCATAACTGTAGCCTGAGGAAGACCCTGATAGGGTCGAAAACATTTGCTGTTTTGTAAACATGTATTACTGGAGTTTCAGAAGGTTTTGTGTGTGATGAGTTAAAGAATCTGTCTAATGTCGATTGCTTCTCTCTCTTCAAAATTTTTCAGAAGTAATTAATAGAATTGTAATTGTAGAGATTCCTAAGCCTATTAACCTCAACCTGGTTTGGATTCTCTTTTAGAAGAAAACATCTCTCGCCAAGTTTCTTGGTGTTCTTTATTCAAGAGTTCTTGACTTTTTTCTGTTGCCAGATTCGTTTCAGGTTCCATTATGAGCTCTTCGATGTGATTTTTGTTACTCCTTGAGCTGCTTGAGTCTTCTTGATAATACAGTATCTTTCTTAGATAAGATTGAACTGCGGCATACTGTAGACCTGTTCAAGCCATACTGCCCAGCAACAACAGACATCTGCCCACTCTCTACCTTTGCTATTATATTCTCACCTTTTGAAAATAAAAACCGACGCAAAACTTAACAAGTGCCTGCCCGACAGTCTCGCAAATACTATAAAAAAAATTGTTTCTGTCAGAAAAATAAAAGGCTGGAATTACAAGGGAGAGTTTCAAAGTTCGGAGGAATACTATCCAATAAGTATATACCAAGTTGAGCGTCGATGTTGATGTCTCCTGCACTCCAAAAAGTTTCGAATTTTTGTCTGAAGACAAGGGAAGACCAAATCGGTATTCATTATTTTACATCGCTTCTTATTGTGTTTGTTCTGTGAGGTGTTTGTTATCCGATCATGTGTTCATTGTCTGAACATAAAAATCTTTAGCGAAAGTGTTCATTATCCGATCACCCACTGTATATAATATTGTACATTTAAAGCATATAAAACTATTTTTGCAATTATTTTTCTTTTCAGACTCAATTTCCATGATAAAAAGGTGCAGCAACATGTATTTATCATAATTTGTTGTATTTAAGTGAATGAAATTCTAAGAATATTACAGAAATGTCAGAAAATTTCATAAACCCAGCCCAGTACAGGTAATTAATGCATAGGTTAATAAATTTAACACTAGATCAGTGTGATGGAGAGAAAGAAAATCATTAAATGTTTTCTTTGTAAGATTTTTTTGGGTTCAATTCTACTTTTAAACTTATAATACCTCAATGTCTTTACCAAAAAATTAATGTAGAACATAAATATTACTATATTTTGCAGCATAATTTTTTAAGGGTGGACAACCTAATAAACTTTTTTAAAGAAATAAAAGTGTAAATCATCAGATACTTTTGACTTATAAAACATTACACACCACTTTCAGTTAGCCAGCCTGGTCTAAATAACAACTGTAGCTTATATGTAGATAATAATCATTTCAAGACTATATGTAATTTAATTATCACATTTTAATTAGAATTTGAATTTTTATTCATATAAATTATATTATATGTTGAACCTGAAGATGACCCTCCAAAATGATTGAAAGTATGAAATTAAAATAAATGCTGAGAAAGTAAAGATGTTTATTATTTATTTCAGAAATATTCCAGTTATATTAATTGTAGATAAAATAGGAATGCTAGCCAGAAAACATATAAACAAAGAAAAAGAAGCCAAAGAGTTACTTAAACTGACATGTACTGTACAATTCCTACAGCAATACAGAATTTGTATTCCCAAAATTAATTTATAAAATTAAGTTACCTAAAGGAATGTTAGTCATTAATTGAGAAATTATGTATTCTTAAAGATTCATTAATTTGTTTCAAAGAACATGCAGTATATGTTAAAATTTTAATTAGAATTTATTTGTATAGCCTAATTAGCACAGCTTTACAGTAAAAAGTAGGCAGTGTCATTCCATAAGAAGTTTAACAATTACAATTAATTTAAAAACATCTAAAGGAGAGAATATCAACTTTAAGCAAAATTAAATTCACAATTCCTGTAACTTGAACAATTATATACTATTAGTTACAATAAACTGTAATTATATATGTTAGGCTCAAACACTGAATTCGCTCATTGAGCGAAAAAAATATCACGAAAGCCACGACACAAATTTCACTTTGTGGCCATTTTGAAACAACAATGTGTTGTGGTCATTTTTTTTGTTCAATGCGGGATTTTGGTCTTTGAGCCTAACATATACACCATACAGAAATGAGCAGTTCTTATCTTCTCTTTCAGACTATTTATTAATGAAACATATTTCTTTATTTTATATTGAATAAAAAACTAGAAACATCTATTTAAGTTAAAACTAGAGATATAAATGAAAATGGCATTAGACATT